TGTGTGTTGTGTGTGTTGTGTGTGTGTGTGTGTGTTGTGTGTTGTGTGTTGTGCGTGCGATGCTGTGGCCCTCCTCTCTCTCTCTCTCCTCCTCTCTCTCTCTCTCTCTCTCTCTATTATATATATATAGGGATTAAGGCGAGCAAAACGCAGTAATTTAATCATGTGAACATATTCCTAACAACGCCGGTCCATTCAAACGCGTATAGCGGTTTGCCTACCTGCTAGCGAGCCGCACATCCCTCTGGCGCTAGATAGCGGCGGCCCATGCCTGTCGTCTGTGCTGGTACTAGTCCTCGGCGTTTTCGCTTTAATCTAGAACATAAAGGGAATCGCCTACATGAACGCTTGCAGCGGACGCACGTGAAATCAGCGCCAGCTCGCGCATTTGTAATTGATATTATGAATAATGAACATGGACACGCAGCCGGCTGTATCGAAGTACGCGAATCAAATCGATATGTTAGCTTCTCTACGAGTTTAGCATACGTACGCAAAAGTAAGTATACGCGTGTGGCGGCGCAATGGTCGCCTATTCGAACATGCGTATACACCGTGGCAGCAATCTAAAGTGTTATTAAATAAAAACTGCAGCGCGAATCGATTCATCGAACGACATCACTGAGGAAGTGGATGTGATCTATTATACGTCACTTTAACTCTATCCTCATGTATAATTACGTGACGACTTCATCGTCACTGAATTATCGCATAATTGATTATTGATTATTGATTATTGATGCATGATTGCTGCCTGACTCCGGCGTGTATATTTCGCGATGGCATCACTTCGTAACCGAATTAACATTGTGCATCACTTTCACGCTCCCACAATGTTGAGTTACGGACACTGTAGCCGGCATTCTCTCTGTTGAAGATACAACCAGTAGCTTATCATAGCACACCTGTTATGATAGTCTGCTGACATAACGAGCGGAGTGATGACTGTAACGAGGACGTAGATTTCAATTCGTAAAACGATATCACCGCTGTGTCGAGATATAACGCTTTCAATGATAACATCGTCATATATATATGTGTGTGTGTTTGAAGTAGTATTAACTAATAGTAGTAAGTAACACTACTGCAAACACACACACACGCACGCACGTACGCACGCACGCACGCACGCACGCACGCTCGCATGCAGGCACACACACATATATATACCACCTTTAACGCGTACTATGAAACTAACTATGAGAACAACACCAGCCCACCACGCAGCCTCCCCTGTGCACCCTAATAAGAATCCAACTCCATTCCCAAACGCTAGCTGTTCGTCGACCAGCTTTTTGCGTCGATCTTCCCGCAACATTTCGGACACAGAGGGAGGGTTTGAGAAGCAATTACGGAGAAGGTTGGCGAGATTTTTCTCCCACGGTCGCGCAATGTCGTATCTAATGACGCGCACAGCTTCGGTACAAAAACTCGCACGAGCAACAGCCGACGAATTTTTTGTCGTTCTAAAGTTGCACGACATCGCGAGTCATTCTCTCTCATTCCCTCTCTCGCTGTCCCTCCCTCTCTCGCTGTCCCTCCATCTCTCCCTGCTGCTGCTGCTGCTGTAACTACTACTACTGCTGCTGCTGCTGCCTATCACTCCTGACACTGCTGCTTGCTGATGCTGTTGTTGTTGTTGCTGCTGATGTAGTTGTTGTTGCTGCTGCTGCTGTTGCTGCTCCTGCTGCTCCTCCTTCTGCTGCTATTGCTATTGCTACTGCTACTGCTACTGCTACTGCTACTGCTACTGCTACTGCTACTACTACTGCTTCTGCTACTGCTACTGCTACTGCTACTACTACTGCTTCTGCTGTTGCTGCTATTGCTGCTGCTGTTACTGCCACTGCTGCTGCTGCTACGGCTGCAGCTACTGCTATTGCTACTGTTGTTGTCGTTGCTGCTGACGATGATGATCATAATGCTGATGACGATGACGATGATGATTACATGTCATTATTTCATTCGCTAATCTGTTAATCACGTTATTAATAATCACACGCATGGGTTTACGTTCATCTGAAGCGGTCAAGCACATGTTCACGAGTCCCACAGCTGCTTCGTTCAATTATATAGACCCCCTCCATTACCTGTAGGTTAACAACATTATCGACAAACGTCATTATGGAGTCGGTAAATCGCGAGTATCTTGTGGGTATCTAATAATGCCATCAGCATAGGTTCACAGATATCTACTTTGACTTCTGGCAACTTGCCAGTAAATCATATATACATGCGAATGCGTGTACACACGCTTCAATGCTTGTGGCATTGCAAACATCAACAGATCACCATGACTAGCACACGTGTGACATGAACTCAAGCTAGCCTAGACCTGAGGCTGCGGATGGAGACGGTGGGTGTCGGCGATACAGGAACACATGGAACGTTAGAGGGCGCTGTCCTCATCGCTGCGTGAATCTGTCTCTCTCTCTCTCTCTCTCTCTCTCTCTCTCTCTC